TTTCAAGGCATCGCGAGTTCACGTTTTACTGCAGAAGCCGACAGGCGCCCTTGTTGTTTTTGAACAGAAGCCGATAAGTCCATTTTAGCGAATCAGCGCGCTGTATTCAGGTCAGGTGACAAGGCTACTTTCACTTTGAAAGGACGTGCTAGCTGAGAGGAGTTTGGTCAAAGCTGACTAAAAGTGATCCAGGATGGATAATTTCGACGAATTTGATGAACCTGTGATATCTTCTTCAGGGCGAAAAAGGAAAATAAAAGCTGAAACGTTTTCACGGAACCTTGCAAAAGCAGCGCGTTACAATGGTGAGGGAAAAGCTCCGTGTACAAACAACAACAACGTTTGTCAGGCATCTACATTGTCATCTGAGGAGATTACAAAGATTAAACGAGTGTTTGTTTTTTTAACTCTAAAACATGAAATGTGGAGTTATCTGCTTTTGCCAAAAAATGACTGTTGGAGTTATCTGCTTTTGCTATAAAACAAACTTTTTAATATGTAAAAAAAAAACATACTTTCAATGAACGTTAATTTTGTGAATTACCTGTATTTGTTTAAGTTATTATTACTTAATCAAAACAACCCAACTGCAGTTTGATTGATATTACTTGGAATGCGCAATAAAAAAAAACGTGATTTTTGGGAAAAAAAATAAAAATGGAGTTATCGGTTTTTGCAAATGAACTCTTCATTTGTTTGATGAACCCTTTCAACATAATATTTACTTAAAGAATTACCTGATATTTTAAGTTATATTTCAATGATTCAATGACACTTTTATAAACCGGAGAGTTCCGGTCCTTGATTCTGATTGGCTGAGCCACGTTCGAAGCTGTTGTAAATTACTCTACAAACTAGTGTTGTCAAAAGACCCGGTATTTCGGTACCAAGTCGGTACTAAAAAAATGAAAACGTTACGGTACCAGGTTTTCTTAAGTACCGGTGGTACCGAGTACCCGGTCAACCCGGTTCTTGATGCGCTATCCGAAAGCTATCCTCTTCCAGTGTTGCCAAGTCCGCAGTTTTCCCGCGGAATTGGGCTGCTTTAACACTGTTGCCGCTCCACGGGTTGTTTTTCATGTCCGCGGGTTGAAAAACGACCCCATTAACGTGATATTTAGCCCCTGGAATGCGAATTTTACCTTGGTACCGTGACAACACTAGTACACACATACACCTTTGTCTTTTGCTCGGCAACCACTTTGTTGCAACCACAACTGATTCTGAGGAACTACATTGTTTGGTGGAAGAATACTGTTTTTATTAATATCATTACACTTTATTTGCTCTGTTTTATTTTGTGAAACCTAACTATGTATATGGAATAACCGTTTTATAAAAGCAATCAGCCCCGTGAAGCCGTGGTTTACAGTGAATTTATAACAGATAAGGGGCATTGTTAGAGCGTCGTGCCTAACAACGCCCCTTAGTTGTTATAAATTCACTGTAAACCACGGCTTCTTGGGGCTTATTGCTTTAATGGTCAATAATGGTCACATGACATGCAAGAAAATAGATAAAAAACTTCTTTATTTAGTTTTGACTTTGTAAGTGGACTTTAAAATAGACTCAAATCTCTTTTTAGTTGTGATAGTGTCTCAGGTTAGTGTATTAGGAGCCCAATTAAACTGAATAATAATAATAATAATCATCATCATCATTATTATTTATTCAATTTTGTTGGGCTCCTAAAACACCTTAATTTAAATCCGAGTGTAACTTTAAGACAAATATATTACTTTATATATATATATATTTATATATATTATTGCTTAAAATGAATCTCCGTGCCAAACAAGCAGCTGAGTTACAGGGATTTCTCTAGCCATTAAAAAAGGTGATTTCAACGCAACAGGCTGAACCAAACGCCATCAATTATGCACAACCCAATCTGGCTTTTCAAATGAAACCCGCAGGACACCAGCTCTTTTCTCAGACACCAATCACACATTTGGCCGGTGAAATTGCTGTCGCGTAAACTTGCTCTTTCTGCCACCCTTCTGGGCTGACGCATGGGGTCTGGTCTAAAACCTAGTGATCTTCCTTTGATTTTAAGGCAGCACGGGCACATTCCAGATGCGAATATCAGTCAAATCTTAGGTATCTCAATTATGTTGCAGATGCCTCACTTTGACAAAATTGTGAGGTAGCATCAAATGTTTCCTTCTGCAGAAAGGCAATCTTTCTAACTGGTCGGTGAAAATCCAAGATGATGAACTATTAGGGCTGCAAGATTAATCATATTTTAGTCATGATCACGATTTCTGCTCTTTGATATTTGCCCCGCTAGTTATTTATTCTCAAACCGTTTTTATTTTTTTCATTTGACATTTGTGTCATCTTGCATTGCTATCCATCAAGTCTCCATGAGGTTGCCAGATGTCAAGTGCTTAATCCCCCAATAATAGATTTTCTCTTAAATGGATACATTTTCTGCCCTCCATTGCAATATTCTACTCAAATGAAAGGTGTAAAGTTGAGGCCACATTAGCGACATTTCATGGGCAAAAAAAGGTCAGTTTATTGCCAATAGTGTAGTGATGTATGAAGCACAGCTCACACAGTCACTTTCAAACCAAGCAGCTTTCTGCTGGTCAAAGCAGTAAATCTGCACGACTAACTTGAACCCTTTGTAATATCTGCGCTTGGAAATCTTTCGCCTTCACATGAACTTCCGGATTGCGTGGATGCCTATTGGATTTCGCCTGCAAAATTCTGCAGAGCAACTGTAAATGTGACTGCACCTTAATGGAGCCAGTCTACATACCTTCAACAAGGTCACTTGTACCATTTGCTAAATCTGTGAGCAAATCTTCTCGGTGACATAGTAAGTATAATAAATCCAAACAAAAATTTTGACTAAACTTTTCACTTCACAAGACATTAACTGATGGACTGGAGTGGTGTGGATTACTTGTGGATTATTGTGATGTTTTTATCAGCTGTTTGGACTCTCAATCTGACGGCACCCATTCACTGCATTTAATTCACTGATTTAATGCTGAATTTCTCCAAATCTGTTCCTATGAAGAAGCAAACTCATCTACATCTTGGATGGCCTGACTTAAATTTTCAGCAAATTTCTGATACCATACTTTTCCCCAAGAAACGATATATATCTTGTGCAATTTCGACGTATTAAAATACACTGCAGATCTGGCATCTTTCACTCACCCTGGACATTCAGCACTCTCTCCACGCTGACCTCTGGCATCCTCTTTTTGCGGAGCTCGGCTCTGATTCGGAAGACCTGGTCGGCGTAGGGCGAGACCACGCCGATACTCCCCTCGTCCAGCTTCCCCCAGGCCACGGGCCACTTCTTCCTCATCTCCTCCACCCGCTCAACTATCTCAAACACCTGCAGAAGGACAACAGAGCATTCCCAACGCATTCTAAATGATAACGCTCCAATATGTACACACACCCATTCAACTGGAAACAAGGCCGGTTTACACCAATTCCAGCACAATAAAAACTACACCTAATTAGGGATGTAACGATTAACCGCGAGCCGGTTGAAAATCGATTTAAATATGTGACGATTCAAATCGGTTGAGATGCTAAACAAATCGCGATTCAGTTAGGGGTAAGAGTTTATATGAATGTATGTCTGAGGGGAACTTACTGTCTTTCGATGGTATTTTTTCTTTTCCGAGTGAATCATTACATCCCTACACCTAATGGATCGGAAGTGCAAACAACAACAAAAACTCAATTTCTTGTCAATATTGGGGTCACCTCAGCGTTGTTGTAGTAAGCCGTGCTGTTCTTCTCTTGCACGTCTTCTCCGCGGGCAGTGAAGAAGGTCAGAGGGTAGAAGTCCTTATGGGGCGGCTGCTTCCCGCTGGCCATCAGTTTGCCCTCGTAGAAGAGCTCGGACGTATAGCTGCGGTCAGCCAGAACACACGGTCAGCACTTAGTGCCTTAAAAAGGTCATTTAGCTCCTTATTAAACTATCAAGAGCTATAACTCTAAAGATTACAATCTAAACACTAGAAGATTAACAGTTTCTGCATATGAAGTTCATTTGCAAAAACCGATAAAAACCGATTGCCGTGCATTATTCTCCACATGTAGCACGATCTGAACCCTAAACACGTTTTGTCAAAAAAGCTGGTTTTGTCTTTGTAAACTCTAAAACGTGAAATGTGGAGTTACCTGCTTTTGCTATAAAACAAACTTTTAATATGTAAAAAAAAAAAACATACTTTCAATGAACGTTAATTTTGTAAATTACCTGTATTTGTGCAAGTTATTATGACTTAATCAAAACAACCCAACTGCAGTTTGATCGATATTACTTGGAATGCGCAATAAAAGTTATCGGAGTTATGGAGTTATCGGTTTTTGCAAATGAACTCTTCATATATTCTGCTGTACACGAACGGACTGAGCTGGAAGACAGGAAAGCTCAGAGTCACTCTTAAATGCGTTACATTAGACAATGGCCTTTGGGTTCACAGAGCTCGAGTCAGTCTTGAGTTTTACTTTTGGATGAACTATTTCTTGAACCTAGATGTATTGGCTGTTTAGCTATTTCAGTCACTCAAGCGCAGCTCCTGTCTCTTTGAATGGGGAAACGACAAATTCTCTAAAGCTGTTCGCCAAGCTTACGATTACACTTCATATTACCAATGAAATCTGACAACAACAGTCTCATAAATGCGGTTTCTTCTGCTCAAATAGCATCTAAAAAGCTTATTTCTCAGGCTAGACCAGCCAGTTTCTATAGCAACCGAAGCTTCTAACGGCAGCTGCAGTGATGCGATGACTTTACCCATTAGTGATTGGCTCTTTTATTCAGAAGGCGGGACTATTCTGCCATATTGCACATTGCACTTTCTCCCATATGAAATCGAGGAACGTGTGTGCGTGTGTGTTTGCTCACCTGGCTCCAGGTCAAGCTGGCAGAGGTACTGGGACGTGCTGAGAGTGACCACGGCCACACGGTGGCGCTCTACATCCTGTCGCGTGGGCATCTGGAAGGTGAAGTACGCTCCGGAGATCAGGCAGTACTGCTGCACCACCGGGTGCACAGTCTTCACCCAGCGGTTCCTGAAATAAACCCTGAACAAACACAGAAAAAGAGTCTAACGTTAAAGAGGTCATATGATGCGATTTCAAGTTTTCCTTTCTCTTTGGAGTGTTACAAGCTGTTCGTGAATAGATAAGATCCCTAAAGTTGCAAAGACTAAAGTCTCAAACCCAAAGAGATATTCTTTATAAAAGTTAAGACTGGAAACTTCATTGACAACCAGGGGTGCACGTAAGTTTTTCAGTCTGGTTTTAATGAGAGCACCTAGAGGTTTGGTTCTCATAGTGCACATAGTGTGACCCATTAAATATAACTATAAAAAATAAAATGATAGTAAAAATAATATAATTGTGTTTTATTTAATTAGGTTATTTAAAAAAAAATAATAATTTTATTTAAATTTTTATTTTACACTTAGGATATGCAATGCTAATATTTAAATTTTTTTTTTTTTTTTTCTTTTTTTTTTTTTTTTTTTTTTTTGATTTTTCAAATCCCGCTTAAGAGGGCTGAGGGAGGACGGAGGAGCTGAACACGCAGCGTCAAAATTGCATAACAAATTTCCTTCCACAACGACCAGTTTTCAAATCTTTCGATGCCATGTAACTTGTCCAATCAACATTTAGAAAACTATCACTGTGCCCCATTCTTTAGCTAGTACTTTCAGATTAGGGATGTCAAAAGCACGGGTACTTCAGTGCCAGTCCATTACTAAAATAAAAAGAAATAAACAAATACCATTCATTTTTCAGTGTTATTTTTAGTATTATTTATATACATACTATCACAGTATTTATTATTATTCTGAATTAGTTTTTATTTTAATTTTTTCCATTTGATTTTAGTATAAGCTTTAGTAATTTTGTTATTTGCATTTTTCATTTATATTCACTTTTGTTTGATTACATTTCTATTTAGTTTATATTAGGCTTGCCGCGATAGACGGTGCTGATGGTTAAGCCGCAACACCGGTTACGTCACTTGCCCACCGCGGCACCGACGTTTTGGCTCTACGTTTCTTATTTATTTGGTAATATATTATGCATGTTTACATATTTCCAGTTTTGTACAGGCTACCTATTTAAACATTATGTAAGTTATTTGTTATTTTATATTAGGCATAGCCTGCCCTATAGTGAAGGAAAGCGAGGAAAAGGAACGCCCCCCACAGTGATACCGGTATTACCGGTGTTGTCACACGTCGATTAACCGGTGGGAAAATTTCCTCACGTCACAACCCTAGCTTATATTTATTTCAGCTTTCGCTTTAGTACTTCAATGTAAACTTATTTTCAGTTAGTTGCCACAGCAAGAATTCTGATTTAATTATTTGTAATTTAATTATGATGCTTATTTTATTTTATTTTTTTTACAAATTTTGTTTTAATTGTAGCAAACAATGACAGTGACAACCATGCAGCGAGTGTTACCTGAGAGGTCGTGCGTGTGGATTGCCTGCCTCCACGTATGGATGAAGGTAATCTTTAATGTACAGATCTGCTGCACTGTTTGAATGTGTACAGATCAGAACCCTGAAACAAAGAGAGAACAACCGTCATTAGCACTCTTTAAGCCAAAGCTGCTTAAAGCAGGACAAAAAAAAACAACAACAAAATTATCTTAATTCCTCTGTTCTTCAAGACTATTCCTCATGATTAGCAAGGAATGTTTTGGGATCGATACAAGTTAAGCTCCATTGGCAACATCTGTGAAATGCGGTTTCCACTGCAGGAAAATTCAATTCGTCTCTCAAAACACACACAATCATGTTTTCCACTTACAATGGAAGTCTATGAGGTTTAAAGGTAGAACTGTCCAAACAAGGTCAGTAAGCAATTCTTTCACACTAGCTTCATGTTAACAAGTATAACGTTTAAGTCTTGTGGGTATAGTTTTGAAAAAGTGTATATCATTGTGAAATGTCTTGCCCAATAAGTGCATTACTGTAAAAGTAGTGTTAATGTTGTCAGAAGTCTTACTCCTGTGTCAAAACATCTTTAGTTTTTAATCATATTTAGTCAACTTCTACTCTTTTTAGTTTAGTCAAGGTTTTTAATTGACAAAGCCTGGGGATTTTAGTCTAGTTTTAATCAATGGAAACAGTCGTATTTTAGTCATGCTGCACTATGGTTAAACTAATAATCACAGTTATTTTGCTCAAAATGATAAATCGTGACTTCTGATCCCAACTGTTGTCATTTAGGAGATCTGGTCAGAATTACTGCACTTTCACCTACAAGCAAAAATAAAGAGGTCAACTCAAACACCGGTTTATTTGAGCTCATCTAGTTTCCTTATTTATTAAATTATCATATAAATGAAAAACTGCATTATGAAAACTGATACAAATCAAAAGCTAAAACTGACATTTCTAATATTAATTTCAATAATTTCAGTAAAACACAGGGCAGAAAAGCTCTGATAGGGGGATTTAAACGTTTGGCATCTGGCAACCCTAAGCATGAAAACCATAAAACTAAACAACCCTAAGCAAATGTTTACATTTTCTTCACCTTTTTTGTTAAAGAAAATATGTGAGCCTGGAGCACAAAACCAGTCTTAAATCGCTGGGGTATATTTGTAGCAATAGCCAACAATACATTGCATGGGTCAAAATGATCGATTTTTCTTTTATGCCAAAAATCATTAGGATATTAAGTAAAGATCATGTTCCATGAAGATATTTTGTAAATGTCCTACTGTAAATATATCAAAACTTAATTTTTGATTAGTAATATGCATTGCTAAGAACTTCATTTGAACAACTTTAAAGGTGATTTTCTCAATATTTAGATTTTTTTGCACCCTCAGATTCCAGATTTCCAAATAGTTGTATCTCGACCAAATATTGTCCGATCCTAACAAACCATACATCAATGGAAAGCTTATTTATTCAGCTTTCAGATGATGTATAAATCTCAATTTCGAAAAATTGACACTTATGACAGGTTTTGTGGTCCACATTTAGACAGAGTTTTATTTTTTAAACTATATTTTAGTCTCTTCTTTTTCCATCAACCATATTGCAAATTGATATCGTCACAGTTATTGTGTAATGACCTCATCTCTTCTTCGTCTCGTCTTAGTCATGGAAAAAAAGTTGTCAATGAATATTTTCCATCAGTATTTGATAGCAAAATGAACACTCCTGTAAATGGGTTTCTTGTTTGTTTTTCACATATTGTGGGATGACTGGAAATTATTTTCTATGGTAAATTCCTTTAAGGCTGACCCTGCAAAGCAAGCTTTCCTGCTTACCGTGTCTCAGGCTGCTTGAGGATGTGTTTGACAGCCTGGGCCAGCGTGAAGGTCTTGCCTGTGCCGTAGGGTCCGATGATGAGCACCGGCGGGAGGTTGATGGAGAGGGGGGTGGTGATGGCCAGAATAGCCTCCTTCTGCTTGGCATTTAGACGGGGATCCAGCTGTTCATCCCACTGCCTGTGGCAGCGAGGAAGAAGAACTTACACACTGGCTACAAATGCGCCGCTCACACAAACAAAGACGTCTGTGAGTGAACCAGTGCTGCAGGACAAGCAGATATTATTCATGTCCTCTGTCATTTTAGGTGCTTATAAAGCCAAGAGAGTCTTTGTTAGACAAGGAACTACTGCAAGCAGATCTCCAGATATGTGTGAGTGTGTGTGTGTGTGTGTGTAAAACTCGCTCGTTTGGGTCTTTGTGTGTGCTCGTACCTGTTGGGACTCCAGGGGATTGTGGGAGTGAGGCTGACATCTGGAAACAGGATACCGCTATCGCGGACGCGATCCAGAGCATAATGCATCTCACACAGAGGAAGCCTGTTCAGCTGAAACTGCAGCTCCACCTTGCATCCAAACACACACAAACACACCTGCTGTTCAAACAGACTCTGCCAAGACTTTCTGTATTTATTTGCGCACTCTTTTCTAGCAGCGCCTGCCATGTGTTACAGACAACACATCTAGCAGACGATTGAAAATGCCTTTTAAAGGAATGATTTTCAATAGACACCGTAAAATAAACAATTTTAATGATAAAACTGCAAAAACACATGGTTTCAGAAGACTTTGAATACAGCACTAAAGTCTTATGGACTAACACTTTGGAGATATCGCTTTCACAGAAGAAAAGAATTCATATAGGCTTAGAATGACCTGAGGGCGAGTAAATGACATAATTCTCATTTCTAGATGAACTATCCCTTTAAGAAAATGGTGATTTTTAAGACCTTTTGGTCCGTATTTCATACACAGCATCAGGCTTGGGAGGGTTACTTTAAAAATGTATTCCGCTACAGTTACAAATTACTTAATGAAAAAAGTATTCAGTAACGTAATCCAAGCACCGCAATATGAAAGTAATGTAATCGGATTACTTTTGGATTCCTTCACGGTCACATATGTAAATATGGTTAAGTAAAAGCAATATCATCAAAAATACTTATATTTATAGGATGCAAAATATAAACGACCCGATGCACAAAAACGTGTTGTTAGCGCTGCTCTGATGATTTTATCAGTTTTTTGTATCCTGAGTAACGCCGTTACATGTATTCCGTTACACCCCAACCCTGCACAGCATTAGAATTAATCCATTATCATCCCACGTATGGCTTGAAATGTTCTGGGACAATTTTGCAATCATTTAAGGACCCGTGTCAAATTATCATATATGGCGACACAAAACCAAAGCCCACACAGGGATTCTGCGAGACAAAGGATTCAACACTATTTAAATACAGTGAGAGAGAGAGTGTGTGTTATGCTGCAGGGCACAGTGATAAATAGGATCTGTTAGACGGAGTAAAGAGGGTAAATTAGGCCAAATCCTGCTCTTTGTAGGGCAGTCTGCTTGCTGACAGCGTCTTGCCTTTTGACAAAAGTCTCTGGGGTTTCTACCATTGCAATTCAATTTACAATGGCAAATGGCGTACGCTGCTTAAACTAATTCCACTACATATCTCTGGCACGTCTCTCTAAGACGAGACAACTGAGACTGTACACAACATGTAGAAAACGGTCTAAAACTCTTCACCGTTTACATCAACACAGACATCAACCAATTAACGTCTTTTCCAGCAAGTAACCAGAGGCGAGAAGCTTGACGAGAAACAGTAAATATAGACTAAACTTTACTTGAAAGGTTTAACAGCTTGAAGGTTAAATGTCTTATGTAGTTCTGGAGAGGTGAATTTCAAGCATGTAGGCCCCAGGTGGTTGCTAGGGTGTTTTGGTGGGTTGCTAGGGCGTCACTAATAGGTTTCTAAGGTGTTCTGGCTGGTTACTATACACTGCTAGGGTGTTCTGGCTGGTTGTTAAGGTGTTGATATAGGCTAGAGTGTTCTGGCTAGTTTATAGGAGTAACAAGATTTTGCTAGGGTGTTCTGGCTGGTTGTTAAGGTGTTAACAGAAGTTGCTAGGGCATCGATAGGCTAGGTTGTTCTGGCTAGTTTCTATGAGAAGACAGCAGTTGTTAAGAGTCTTCTGCCAAGGCATTACTAAGGGGGGTCGTTAGCATGTTCTGGCTGGTTGTTAGGCTAGGGTATTCTAGTTTATAGGAGTTGATAGTGGTTACTAGGGTTTTTGGATGGTTGCTAGGTTGTTGCTAGGGCATTATGGCTAGTTTATAATAAACTACAGAAGTTGCTAGGGGGTTCTGGTTAGGGTTGGGTACCGAAATCCGGTACCAATATGGTACAACTCGGGAAATGAGAGCATCGGAGGAGCGCATGAATGCAGTAATTACACTTGCTCTGATGGCAGCAGGTAGCCTTCCGTTAACTAAGCTAAACATGCTTAAGTTAAAATACCTAGAGCTAAACTTCCCTTGTATTCACATTTCTAAACCTGTTGTCCAACACAAGAGAACATTATAAGCTTTTTACTCCACAACACCAGTCAAATGCTTCCTTTTGTGATCTGATGTGGCTTCTTGTCACAGAATGAGGCAGAAAATATGTTCCATAGGCTACTTTAAAAAGAATACATTGATTAGCAATGAATTATAAATATACTTAATTATGAAAATACCAGAGATGGCTTGAATAACACAGATAAACTATATTGTCGCAGTCGAGTGTTTATTGTCTTTGTTTTATCATTCAAAACGTTTATATGTTCCGTTTACTCAGTTACAGCTATAATAGCGATGCCTTTGTCCATATAAGGGATTTCCTGGAGGGTCATGCTTGTGGATATGTGGATTTTCTGTGGGAGGGCGCCCTCTGCCATCCAGTATGAATGGCCAATCCATCATTTTTTGGGGCAATTTTTATTTATTTATTTTTTAATAAGTATCGGTTCAGGCACTGGAACCGTTTTAAAAGTATCGATTTGGCACCGGTATCGAAAAAAAAAAAAAAAAAAAAACGATACCCAACCCTAGTTCTGGTGGCTCACTAGGCCATTGCTAGGGTGTTCTGGGTGGCTGACAGGTGTTAACAGAGGTTGCTAGGATAAACTGGTTGGTTGATAGGGTGTTGTTAGGCTAGGATGTTCTAGCTAGTATCTGAGGAAACAGTTCTAAGTTGCCAGGGTGTTGTGGTGGGTTGTTTAACTGGGGCATTACAAGAGGGTTGTTCTGCAGGTTGCTACGGTATTCTAGCCGGTTTATAGGAGTCAACAGAGGTTACAGGTTTTTTTGGCTGGTTGCTAGGGCGTTGCTAAATTGGGGTAATCTTGCTGAAAGCTAGGGTGTTCTGGCTAGTTTACAGGAGATTACATAAGTTGCTATGGTGGGTTGGCAAAGCATTGCTAGTTGGTCTCTAAGGTGTTCTGGCAGGTTGCTATGCATTTCTAGGGCGTTGATAAGCTAGGGTGTTTTGGCTCATTTATAGGAGACGGTAAAGTTGTTAAGGTGTTCTGGCTGGTTGCTACCGAAATACTAGGGTCTTCTGGTTGGCAAACAGGCGTTTATAGGCTAAGGTGTTCAGGCTCATTTATAGGAGATGGTAAAGTTGCTAAGGCGTTCTCGCTGGTTTCTAGGGTGTTGCTAGGCTACGGTGCTCTGGCTGGTTTATAGGAGATCGAATATATATTATAGGAAGTTCTGGCTGGTAGCTAGGGCGTTGATATGCTTGGGTGTAAACTGGCTATTTTTTATAACATAATTAGCATATGGGAGGTCTTTTTGAATAATGTCATAACATACCTGCAGCTCCTGATCCGACACCAGTCCTAGCTCGTCACAGCAGTCCTTACAGACCCGCAGAAAGATGTAGTCTTTCGTCTTTTCCTCAATCAGGGCCTCGTACACACGTTCTTTGGCTCCAGCTGGCTGGTTCTGACCCATCCGCTCCTTAAAGACAGGCAGCAGCAGCACAGAGTTGACCTTTGTCATGACTAGACGCCCAGCCAGCGTATCTTCAGACAGCGTCTCTGTCAGCTTGAAGCGTGCAAACAGCTGTCCGTTCTGAGCGTACTTGGCGCCACCAGAAATGCCAGTCAACATAAAGCTCGTCACCAGCTGCAGGTTCACCTTGATGTTGAACCTGAGAAAAAAAAAAGCACCACGTTTAGGAAAACATGATACAGCAGTGTTGGTTGCACCAGTTACTGTCTGCCAACTACTGACCTCAGTTTACATGTCAGGAAATATTACTAAAGGAAGAATAATATATCAATAATTAAATCACAATATTTAACAACAAATGTGATTTGAAACCCCTAATTTCTCAAAATAAATGAACAGAAGAATAATTTCACTTCCACAAACGCTCACTTGCTTTTTCTAAAAGACCACCAACGACCTCTAGTGGTAACAAATAGGAATTATTATTAAAGATTATAGAAGAATATTTCATTATATAGGCTTAATCAAGAAACATGAGTCAAGCCTTGACTCAAGACACATGCAAAAGTCAGTGAAACTAAAAGCTCCAGTCTGCAATTTCCAGATGTCCGGGTGCACACCTTTTATCACCTCTTCAGCAAACAAAGTTGCATTTACAAATGAACAGGCTGCAAATATGAGCCCTTATTAGGAAAAACTAGAAGATCTGACTAAGTTTAGTCAGCACGCAGGTTTACTGCATCAAAACTTTCTTTTGAATGTAGCATGTAAACAGGTTATCCTTCTGCAGAACTTGTACATCCCCAAATGACTTCTGAGTTCCGTAAGTAATTGTTACTTTTGGATGCTTTTATATTCATGTAACAAGATAACATTCCACTGAGACATTCCACTATTATTAGTTAAAGTTACAACACTGTTGCATCCTGATATTACTGTGCTACTGTCAACTTTATAATTACCTCTACATTATAAACGTGATCTACAACTGGTTGCTTTACACATCGGTCGGAGAGCCACTCTTGTGGACCAGACTCTGAGACTACTCACTTGCTGACTTCTTTGTACTGAGCAATCTCCTCGATGTAGAGCAGGTCGTGCAGGCGGGGCTGGGAATTGTCTCTGGTGAGGGTTTTGTCCAGCACAGACTGGGTGAAGAGCTGGTCTGCAGAGAGGGGGATCTGGTAGCGGGTCAGTAGACTGCGCTCTAGATCCATGTTTTCATTAGGGACAAACTCCACGATGGTTTTGCATGACGAGTCCCAGCGCTTAGCCGTCATCAGGAGCTGCTGTCGCGCCTGCATCAAGTGCTCCAGATCTGTGGGATTATGGGTAGTGGATAATGATGGAAATGCTGATCTAGGGTCATATTTGACAATATACTGATATGCATGCAGTTAGGATCTCTGGGGAGGCATATATCTGATAAAAAGAAGAGGAGATACTTAGCAGAAATTCTGTGCCTCACATAAAGCTATACTATGGCATCAGAAGACGTGGAATAAAGTGCCTGACTTATATATGTGACCCTGGAGCACAAAAGCAGTCTTAAGTCGCTGGGGTATATTTGTAGCAATAGCCAAAAATACATTGTATGGGTCAAAATTATAGATTTTTCTTTTATGCCAAAAATCATTAGGATATTAAGTAAAGATCATGTTCCATGATCACAGTGTCCTACCTTCAATGGAGGCGGCGTCCACCATCACTCGCTGCATGAGCACGGGCTCAGAGCCAAAATCAAAAACCACGGTCTGCCGGAAGGTTCCGAAGATCTCTGTGCTGAAGGAGACCACCACAGTGTAAACGCAGTGGTCCAAGCCGTTCTGCACCAGGCCAGCCACGCTCCACTCCTGACAGCCGCCCTCACACACCCCCTGGGGCACCTGGGTAGACGCGTCCCCGGCCGAGACCGCCGTGATGGAGAAATGTGGCCGGTTGGCATCGTAAAGCAGAGCGATGCGGTGTAGCGTACGGACCGGCTGTTTGTGACAAAACAAATTCCTGTTTGTATTAGCCTAGAGATTCAAATCCTTGTCCAAGATCACTAACAATTTCTAAGGCTTTAAATTCAACACAGGCCCGTGTTAATGCCATAAGCAGGAAATAGGAAATTCAATGAAGAAAAATACTATAGCAAATCATTATTTGCTATTATTTATAAAATCTTTAATAGCTTAAAAAATAACATGCACAATACGAACGAGTGTTAAAGTTAATTGATTTTGCATTGACTATAACTTTGAATACATTATCAGATTTGAACACTAACGCAAAAATATTTTCTTCAAACACACTGTGGCTTGTGAAAAGAGAGGCTAGATTGTCCAAACCTTGCAGAAGAGTGTGAACGTCCAAGAGTGTGATGATTTCTTGGTGTTGACGGTAATTGAGAGATCTGAGCTGTGCTCCACCGTAACTCCATCCACACAGTCATTCATCTGCACGACACGACAAATCATTAAATCAACAGACGAGCAGCAGCATCCGCAAAAGCTCACCGCTTCTGACTGCATTGACTGTACAGGGCCACAGTATGTCAAAACATAGTTTCTGTAAACAAACTATGCCACAGTGTTGCCAAGAAGCACACCGTATATTACATATGGGTCTCGCTATCAGCCTGTAATATAACTAGCAATACATCAATAGCAGACTTTAGGGCTGTCAAAAAAAATTAGAATTTCGAATATTCATAGAATTTAAAATAAAAATCCACATTCGAATGCAAAAACGTTGCATTCGAATTTTAGGTGTGCATCAGGCAGCCTTATCAGTGGCGCACGAAATGCGATGACGATGTAAGTGTCGTTGCATTTCAATGCTTTTGTTAGCCTGTCCAGTTGAAGCCACTAGATGCTGCGCTGCAACGATGTTCATTCAAAATATTGCGGGAAAAAAGAACATCAATGCGGAGATGATGTTGTTTATGTCAAAACTGAAACCAAACACATATTTCGTGCATTTTCTAGAGGGATGTCTATCACCATTGCACTCGCATCTCGCACAAGAGAGCCGCATGTTTAGAAAGCCATGTAAAAATGTAAGTTCAACTTTTTAAAAACATGTCTCAAGACTTTATGGCGGTTTTTCCCCATCCTACTGCATCTTAAGTTTTTAAATGAAGAAAGTACTCTTTGTGACTGGTTTTCGGTCCTTTGTATTAAACTATACTGTACATACATGCATGATTCTGTTTTGTTTCTAATTGTTTAAGCAACTTTAATTATATAAGGTTTATAAACACTATTTTAAACATTATGCACTTTTTTCCAAAGATAGTCGTGTTATTTTATTATGCTTTGAAGAAACGTGCATAATATTTTGTTCGATGCGCCCTCTTGTGGCCTCAGGAGAGAAGCCAAAAGCTTTTTTCACCCCTACTGAAATTATGCCTTTTAAATTTGAATATAATTCAAATATGGATAATATTTAAGTACAAAATTCCAATTAAATTTTTCAGCCATTCTGACAGCCCTAGTATACTTCAGAGTAGTAATGCACCAAAATAAACCAAAAAAGTTTATTTAACTGAAAACAAAGTTTATTTAATAATCAATTAGTCAAACGGACTTAAAGGCAGGGTAGGTGATTTGGTTCCAAAAAATTTTTTTGTTATGCTTGTTGAAAGTCACATCCCGATAGCAATCACTAAGTTAAGTGTTCTAAATGTATTAATATCATCTGTGGAAGGCGTAGGACCATAAAATGTTCGTCCAATCATATTCCTTGGTCCAGGGGCTACGATAGGCAGTCCTACCTGCCCATCAAAGTATGTATTTGCATACCTCCACACAGACATGATACGTCATCAGAGTGTTCCATTACGCTATTGCAGACATTATTATTGTAATGTTATGCGCTTTGTACGGTAATAAGTTTTGGAGGAGGCGTGGCTTTGGAGAGTGATTTGCAGCGAGGGTGGGATCTTATGCTTTCAAAGCTAGCCTCTCAGAAATCGACTACCCTACATTTAATAATTAACCCTTTTAAACACAGAAGGCAGTTTTTATATAAACCTTTTGACTAATAATTATGTTTCTACTAGAGATGAAACGGTATGAAATTTTCTTATGATTACAGTGACCAAAATGATCACCGTTATCAGTATTATCACGGTATTGTTAAAATGTGCTGGAAATCTTCAAAAAGTACTGACACATAAATCGTTTCACCAAGTTTTATATTTAAAATCAACAGACAACAACAAATAAAATTACTTTTTGTTTGCATAAACACTAAAACAATAACATTACCAATGATGTCTGGATTTTAAATGACAACATGACTGACAACAGTTTATCTAATAGCATGTACGAAACGTTCAAATAAAGTTTTGAAAAAGTTTCATAAAATGGTAAACCTCACATTTCAGCCTTTAAATAAAGAAAAGGGTTAAGTCAAAATGATAAGTGATTAATAAATTATATGTATTTTACTGCTCCATAAATAATTCTAGATAGCTTATTCAAATTGTTTAAATGTGTAGAATCCACATACGCTTGTTTTTCATCAACTGCTCAATTTACAGCAGGGCATGCAAATTCAGTCAATTTTTTGGCCAGACAAAAACTGCACACAGGCTGAATGTAAATGTAACTCTCTGTAAATCCACTCTCTGACACTAGGTGGCGCTAACGGAACAGCAGAATTAGAGCTGTTTCTCCGTAACCTCCGTGGACAAAGCACTGCAATAAGAACACTTCCAGAGATTGTCTTAATATAGGGAGATGAGAGGGTCTGTATTACTTACTATTGGAGAAAGCATAACGGTCAACATGGATCACGTGTGCCTTAATAACCAATCACATTACAGCCTTGACGTCATTGAATTTCAGTCAGAGTTGTGCGACATTCATTTGCCGTTTACGGATACCATAGGAATGAATGAGAAATGCCGTAAACTGAATCCCACCCGTTGCAAAAAGTCAGTGACTTCACTTATAAAACGACATTTATTTCCAGTGTTAACTCTAAAAATAGTTCAATCCAAAAGTATTGCTTAGTGTAAAACATGTTGGAGATTAGCTTCTAGTGGCTTTGACACTTCTTAATTAGGTATTACAACAAAATGACATTGAATCTCTTCTGAAGACAGTCAGAACCTTCAGAGGTACATTCAAACAATTCATTTATTTATATATCCCCATTTGTATAATTCCCTTAGCACTCTTTTAAAACCTCCCAGCTTTCCGCCATGTTTTCACACAAATCGAAACTACTCTTGTTACTTAAAACTGTGCTTTATGCTGGACAATATTTATTTATCCAGAGTTGTTCAAATCGCGGTAATCGAATACGGTTTTAATGAGAATTAAAATATGAAACAGTAATACTAACCGTGGGGAATTTTATCGTGATTTATCGTCAAACCGGTAATTGTTTCATCCCTAGTTTCTACTGCAATACATTGTTGAAATATAAACATTTCAACACAGGCTGTAACAATTTTCATTACATTATTTCATATTAGATAATAAAGACAACTGGTTATATATATGTAATATAGTGCATATATTTAGTAAAAAAAAATGTGAAAATAGATTTTTTCAGCTAACTAACAAGTTTATGGACGCTGAATGGCTTTCCTGAGGTAAATGTAACATTACATTACATTGTTTACAAGCAGTTTTATTAACACTGATTCAGCGATTACATGATAGATTTCATAAAGTTGTACTGGTTCTTTTAACATTCCTTCTGATGTTCATTCATGTTTATTTTGTGCTATAACTAGTAATAAAGAGGAAGAGACGAAGATGTACTGATGTGGCTACACTGATCTGTTACGCCACAAAGAGTGTCAAAAGTTTTTGGTTGAACTTTGTGATCAAACTGACAGGATTTGAAAGCTGAGACTTTGTTTCATATCAAAAGTAACAAAGCACAAAGCTTATTGCGATTAATGGATGGCAGGTCTCCACAAACAAGAGGTTCACGCATGAAAATAGCATAGACTTAAAAGATCTTGGTTCATTAAAATGAAAACCGATTCAAAACGAGAAATCGATATTGCGCTAATTAAACGACACCGTTTTGGTCAATTTCAGCCATCCAAAACTTTCGGCCGATACCAAAAATGTATTTCAATGAGATTTCAGTGCATCACTACTTCATTTTGCCTTTAGTAAGCTGGCTGTAGCTTACTAGTGACTCTCTAGTGAACGGTTAGATATTCTTTCAAGAGGACTGTACCACTCTCTCCGGCGTGAGGGAGTTGATCCATTTCTCGATGAGCACCTCCATGTAGTTCTCGGTGAAGTGCTTGCCCTCCTGCTGCTGTTTGAGGCGGATGAGTCGGGAGGCGTAGCGCCGTTGCCATTCTGTCAGCTCCTCCTGAGAGTGAGCCGAGGTGCACTGAGCTCCGTACCGGCACAGACCCTGCTCTAAAAACCTGACAGTAACCAGCAAAACAGCACATTACAATCCATCAACAAAGAAAGCGGTGCTGAAAATCAACTCTATTTGCTGACAGGACTAGTGTACCTTTTACACAACGTGTACTCCTCACTACTAGTGACCCCTCGAGGAGGAGGACGAAACTGCCAGCCTTCCTGAACATCTGTCCAGAGAACATCACAAAGAAAGAATTAGGAAAGACCGATAGATAGCGTGTCAGTGCAAACACCCAAGCTCACATAAGAGCTAGAATATCAGAGATGAAAAAGGATCCTGGATGCATTGTGAAACTGAAGTGGAACTCACCCTCCTCGTTCTCTTCAACCAACTCTGATGCCATTTCACTCCTCACAGCCTGCAATTGAGACCACCCTTGTGATTCACAGGCAAAAACACGCACTATAATCTCTAACATGTCTCTTAGTCATGCACAAAAGCTGTGGTGAGAGGTACTAGTTCTTGAAACTTGAAAGTCATTTGAAGGCAAGGGTTAATGTTTTCACAGAGAAATGAAAATGCAAGTGACGCTGACTGTGCATAAAGCCTTTAAAGGGGAGGTCTAATGCGCTTTCATGCATTCTGACTTATGTACATTGTTAAAAGAGTCGGATTCTCATGCTAAACGAGACCAAAGTCTCAAAACACGAGTTAGACGTATGACGGAGTATCTCTGTGCCAAATACACTCCTTCAGGGCTCGTATAAGTTACAGAAAGTTTTTTCTCGAGTATGGCCCTGTATGACGTCATAAAAGGCGGGATTCCTTGTATGGGCACTTCTCCCGGAGGAGAGCTCGCACACAAAAGCTGCGAGTGCTCGGGACTCTTTAGCTCCGCCCACGGCACGCCTCCAGGAGCTCGACTGTTTTTGGAGAGAAGCATAAAGCTGTATCTGTCTTTTATTAATCTGATAAAACTAAAGACTTTTTGGAGATATGAAGGATGCAATACTACTCTATAGGTATATTAACATGAGTCTGGCAGAAACTGTGTGTGTCCCCTTTAAGAATGGGTAATATAAGAAACAATCACAGTAAGACAAACTGACCTCTATTTCTGAGAGGAGCCTCTTCAGTCTTGTCATGTCTTTAGTCATGATCCCATTCTATGACAACGAAATTCATTTGTAAATTTTAGCAAATTAAAAGGTAAGAAGTTTACAATATAACGTTTACAGCACAACTATAAAATGTAGAACAAAACTGTAAAGCTTACAGAGCTCCTAAAGCTGAACGTACAATTGTAAAGTTTAGCAAATCTTAAGTTTACAGAGCAATTGTAAAGTTTGCAGCACAACTATAAAATGTAGAACA